TGATGATGATGATGGTGATGATGATGATGATGATTATTATTATTATTATTATTAGTAGTAGTAGTAGTAGTAGTAGTAGTATTGGTCCCTGTTTTATTAGTGCGTTGTTACAGCGGAGGTCCGCGTAGATTGGACGTGTTAACCCGATAAAAAATACCACTGGCGACAAAGCAACAGTCCGGGCCATCCATAATGCGGAAGGTCAGTATGAAATCACCACATAACTTTCTGCAGGGAATTAGACATATATTAAGGGTTAGAGGCCTGTTTTCATTGGACAGGGTTACCAGACCTTTAGCCATTTCGTGTCGCACTCATATGGACCTTCTCTACGACGGTAAATTCCTTGGCAGTCCAAGGTCCTCAAGCTTGTATGGCGCATTATAGATGCGGCCACACGAATGTTTAAAATCCTTTGAAGAAACTGCCTTTGTCTAACCCCTTAAAGGCTTGCCTGACTTGCCGCAATATAAACATGGGCGGAGTGGCCGACTTTCTACAGTTCGGTCTCAGTTTGAATCACGCACCCAAGCGCCTCTGATTGTCAAACTGTTGCAATAGTACGCACTATAGAAAGTAAGTCCTCGGGCCTGAAGCTCTGCAGTCGCATATTTGGAGAAAGTGGCACTGAATTACGCTGCAGGACATAAGCCAGCGCATCGACCAGTCCTCGAGCCTGGTCAAGTTTATTTACAAATGGTCTCCGTCTGCGCATTGCAAACAACTTTTTGCAATTTTCTGTCGGCAGCGGACAGGATGACATCGTAACCTTGATCTCTGACGCAGCCATCGACGGAATCGAGGAATAACGTGGAGCATAAATAGCGAATTCGTAAAACAGGACCAACTAACGAGGAAGTCGTGTTGGCCATCAAAGAGGAGGTGATTCTGCTCGAGAAACTGCATCAACGCTTACTTAGGATTTTCTCAACGATTTTGCCATAAATGGAGGTAAAGATCAGTGGCATATAGTTATTCATAGAAGCTCGATATTCAGTCCTATATAACGGAGTAATAGTTGCGGACTTCCAATGAGAGGGCAGGCATGCAGTAGCAAATGACGCCTGGAAACGCAAGACTAGCTTGATCGCGATTGCATCGCGGGGTGGGTAGGTCGATTATTTCAAGTTTAACAACTCTTCCTGGGTGAGTGTTCCAGTGAAGAGAAATGGTTCAATAATAGGTATTTCTTTGTTCCCATAAGTTGGTGGGAAAAGTCGGATTCTCTCGTCACAACGGACAGAAAGAACTAGGCGAGATATTTAGACTCATCCTCGACTTCTATATTTTCGCACCCACGATAGTTTGTAACGGTGAAATAGGATCTTTATTCCAGGTGCTCTGCTCCATTTAACTACAAAAAACTGTGGGATTGGTCTGACACGGATCAAATGATCTTTCTCGAAGACTCGCCGGTCTTTGGTGATGAGAATCTTGACCCGGTTTCTCTGCATCTTGTGCCTGTTGAGAGATTCAGGTGTCCTATTGATAAAGGATCTTTTCCACAGCTTCCTCTTCTCGACAACTTCCCTTAAGGATGGAGTCAACCAGTAAGTTCTTCTCATGATTGGACGGTGGTTGAGTATTAGGTTGTGGACTATCGCTTTGAATCAGCTCCAAACCTCGTCTGCATCACTGGAGAGTGTGAATGCCACTCTGTGTGGAGGAGATCTTTTTCCTTTGTCCAGTGTCGCCAAGCCAAATATCTGGTCGTGATCAAGCGGTTGGGTAGGCAAGGAGAATAAAGTGCATTCCCAAATGAGAAGTACATTATCACTTTGACCTAATGGTAGGAGGCAATTCACAACGTCGCGTTATCAGTCGACTTAGTGAACTCAAGGTCGAGACAGTTCACCTAATAAACCTTATGAAATCTCGTTGGAAACAGGACTTCTTGGGTGAGAAGCAAATTACCAGTTGAACGCTGGAGTGACTAGTCGAATTATGTCCTGAAACAGTCTGCGATTGCCGAGTTCCAGCCGATGTGGAGTGCAGTAATGATGACAGTATTCAGCTGCGTTAAAAATGACTTGGACTCCTCCAAAACTTTAGCCTCAGCTACAGAGTCATTCTTCGGGGGACGATACATCGTCAAGATATCGAGAAATCGAAAACCCGGTGCCCTTATTGTCAACTATACTTTGTTCGCATTGCGAGTCAGCTTGACAGTTTTTCCGCGGCATGCAAATCTTTCTTTATAAATTTTGTTTTGCCTCCATGCTTCCGGTCTTCCCTGTCTCTGTGGAACTGTTGTAATCCAGAATGTAAAGGCTCCCTGTCATCAACAATCATCTTTCTGTTAGTGAGATGTCGTCTGGGCGGAGAGCACAATTATCGATTCGGAGTTCATCCACTTTAGAGAGCACACGTTGCGTGTTTGTATTGCGTGAGTTTGGGTTTGGATTTCATGCGAGTTCCGTGTATGACTCCGACAAAGTCTACTTGAGTGTCTATGCGGTCGGTAAAACCAGCTTGACACAGAGGGGGGCATAATGTTATTTCTCTAACCGGTCTTTGTAGATTACTAGGTTCTGAAATCGTTGGTTCGCCGCGTTTTCGGTTTTAAGATTAGTCTGTAGCGTTTCACCCCTACTGGAGACGAAAAATTCGACTGAAAGATCTTTAGAAAATTCCTTAATCAAACAAGAAGGGAAAGGATTAGTTTTGCCTGCTCAATGCTGTCTAGGATGATTTATATGGGTCATGGCCGTGTTTGTAGAGGGACATTTGAGCGGCTTCCAAGAAGAAGAACCTTTTGGATGGCTTCCTCTGGTGGTTGTAGATTGGCGTTTTGAGGCTTCTTCAAATGCTCTGAGTCTGCAGTTATTCGTTCTTTGGCGGTGCATGCGGGCGACTCTGAGACGCCTCGAGCGATGATGCGGCGGTCCCTGGTTGGCACTCCTCTGCTTCCCACGGATTTGTCCTAGTCGGCTGGCACCCTGGCTCCGTCGAAGTGGCCTGACTGACTTATGCCGACGTAAGATACGCGCTGCTATAAATAATAATTCAAAAGTCTACGGAAGAAGGCAACTCCGGAGGAATGGAAAACCGCCTTAAGCTCCCTGGTCTACAAATGTGGGTCTTGACTGGAGGCGGAAAACCACCATCTCATGAGTTTAACCTGCATTTTGTGCAATATCATGGAACCACTTATTAAGAAACAGTCAATGATTTATCTGTGGACATGGAGCGTCCTTTCGAGTTAATTGTAATCCTTCTGCGTCCAGAGTCTCCAGACTTTAATCGCATATTTAAGATGCGTTACAGGGCATAGGTTTCGCCAACATATTGGCCAGCACGGTTTACGCCGTGGCCACTTATGTCTTACGAAGTGCACTTACTTTAAGGAAAGGCAGAGTGAAGTCCTAGATGCGAGCTGTCTGTTGGATGAAGTTTTTGACTTCACGAATAAGTCGATAGCGCATCCCATACAAAATAGTTGGCAGTTGGGAATACATGACAACATTTTAAACCAGACCAAAAGTTGGTTATCATTGGGACGACAAACGGTAATAGCAGGCACTGCGGTACCCAAATGGATATAAGCAGAACATAGTGCCACAGAGGGTCCAGTCTTAATTTCTCCCCTTTTCTCACCTATATAAACGGGTGCAATGACAACACTCACTGCGGTGCCGTCCTTTTTGAGGATGACATAGAAACCAGGATAGATACCGGATGCGCTGATGACGCGAATAGACTACAAGAAAGCCTTGTTAAACTGCCTGTCTGATCCAATAAGTGGCTTAGTGCGCATGGAAGTTGATCGGAGACAATTCCTGCGGCATGAGAGGGAGTAATTCGCTTTATTTTAAAGGTGTGGATTCAAAGTTGTTTGGCAGGCAACGGCGCTCCATCCACTTTGGACATAATATAAGTTAACAAATTACTCAAGAGTCAGAAAAGGTTTCCACAGAAAGGAACAACTGCTACCAGGACTGCACGAACGGGATTCCATTAAAAGAAGTGGATACCAAAATAGGTAAAGTTATACAGGTAACTTCGAACTTGATGCCCCCGAACGCTGTAAAAGAGCAACCCAAAAGACAACGAGGACCATGCACTGAATAAGGGGTTCTTTTGAAGTCTATTTTACCGACCATTTTGCACAGATCTTTTGTGCAATTATTATACCGTATTTCGAAAAGGGAATACCAGTATGGATGACTTGGATGAAGAAAAATAGAGACTCCTTCGAGCGGAAAACTCCCCCACGTTACGTCCGAAAAATGGGAAAATTGTCTTGGAATTCATGTCGCGGACAAAGAATAACAGTACGGATTGCAACTAATAGGGAGGATCAGAATAAATACGCAGCTTGAATAAAGTGAACTGCAAAAAAACTCATGACATGGTAGCGCAAACGTGGCTGTGTCTTGGTTAGCAAAGTTTGGATTGAGGATTGGGAATATTTCGTGAGAGAAAAGCTACAGCTGGAAGGAGGCATTTTCGGCCTCAAATATAGCGAACACCGAAAACCTCACTTATTTCCACAAAGTTAGCACTGTTGGTAGGATAAAAGGCTGTTAGCTGCCGACTGAATAATTTATTGGGCCATGCGGCAGACCACGAAGACATCAATGTTCTCTCGGGATGAGAGCAGGCAGTAGGGTTAAAACAACGAATACCGTCACTGCAAAAGATGATTTCAATAGATTCGGCACCCAAAATTTGTAGAAACTGCTCTCACTGCAAAAAGAGACTGCAAATTCCTTCTAACAAAATTTAATTTTGCAGAATTTATTTAACCCTGGGTAGTTTACACCTGACACTCCAGACTCGACACCTTCTTCTTAAAGCTCCTTCAAAGAGTTCAAACGTCTGACTGAGTCTAATGTCGCGTAGTTTTTTTTAAGAAAATCATAGCGCTAGTTAGATGTCGATGGGGTCCTGAATAAAGTATGGTCAGGGTCGAAAACCTTGAACATTAACCACCATAAACCTATTGCAGTTTTAAATAGTTTCAATTGACGTACTACAGTTGAACTGCCTCCAGCGCTATGCCAGCTATTCGGGTACGTTGGGGTTCAATCTCTCCATATTTTTTAGGAACCCACGCTCTACGCCATCAAGGCCATCCTAATATTAGACAGCGACGGGAAACGAATTTTAGCCAAGGTTTGATGTTACTTTTCACTGACGCATAAAGTATTACGACAACACATTTCCGACGTTGAAGTCTCAGTTGGATTTCGAAAAAAAGCTCTTTAGCAAGACAAACAAAACTTCGTATGGTTGGTTCGCACGCTCGACTTTATTGTAGCTGAAATAACTTTGTTTGAGGGCGCAAACTGCGTTCATAGAAGTTCAGCTGACGTATTTTTCTACGTTATTGGAGACGCCAACGAAAATGAGGTTTGACACCCAAGATAATCATTTTTCAGCTTATATTAATGAGCGCCCTTACCTGCCTCCACGACTCTATTAGTCATATTCTGCGAGGTAACATTGAGAAAAAGCCATTAATGGACAATCTGGACCTCGTTTTCCTAGCTGTTGATGAGTTATGCGATGGAGGGTAAATAATGTAATTTGTCATGGGATTTTCCCTAGGATTATTATGGAGTGTGATTCAACCGCTTTGGCTTCTCGTGTCGGGTTTAAGAGCGAGGATATGTCGATCAGCGAGCAGACCATGAGTCAAGTGAGTTGTTCACATTTGTTTTGTGGTTCTTCACCGTTGTCTAACTCAATGTTTTTGTTGGGATAAGTGAATTATGTTCTATCTCCTCCCACTCCTTCCAAGCACGTTTTTTGACTAGTCCCCGCTTTTGCCGACATCCCTGTATCCCTGCCTCCAACAATTCATTTAATCGTAATTATCCTGAAAACTTCGAAGGGATCAGAGGACGTTTGCCTCAAAGATCTCTGCCATTTTCAGGTTATCATTGACGGACAGAACTTCGTTTTTCATAACTAATGTCCTTCTAGTCGCTGTCATATCTATGCACTGGGAACCCTGCTATCTTAGCTGATGAGGCGGGGTGATGATTAGAACTTTTCATTTAACTGGTATTGTGCTCTACATAGGAACCGGTAGTGATCTTTGAATTGCTGCATTCCTCTAGTATCCTCAAAAAGCACTTGTTTTCTTCACACTAGCGGGCATTTATAATACCGCGTGTTCCAAAATGATGTAGGGCAAGCTAGCTTAGTTTAAAATTCTTTTTACCTACTATTCTTTATCATGTAGATAAACCTTTCTGCGAAGCAATAATGGGTATTATCTTGGCTTCGGACTTACAAATATGTGATTAACTGCCACGTTCGCATGGGCAGTGTCTGGTAATAGTCTTGGAAGAAGCCTCAGCAAGTTACTGTTTTTGGTTCGGAATACTTGGTACAGCTGTAATCATTCCTGATCCAACAGGCCTCAATGATATCGTGAATTTTAACTACGGGGTACAAAATGCAACAGCGAATCTGGAGAGCTTGAGTCATTCTCTCCTCCAGCAACAAATGCCTAATGCAAAGGTCCAACAGGGACTTTCGTGTCTTGGTAAACCGTGTCGACCCAGATTTTGGGTTGACCTCCTCCTCGATGCATTCAGGTGGGCAACGACGCCGGACCGAGGGCAGAAGCACCGACCTTATGAGGTGTACGAAGAACGACGTGTCTAAACTAACTTAGTCGTATTTCTGGCCTGAGGTATCCTCGCGATGTTACCGCGGCCCTATTGAAGGACTGAGCGGACGGATATGCGGTACAAGCGGATCTTCGGGGCGATGGAGACGTCGCATCGGGTTCGTAGATTCCTTCTAAGGATCGTAAAAACTCTGCGAGCAGCATTGATTCTGGAGACGATGTCGTCCTTACCCTGTCCATTCGGCATTCCATTTGAAGCTGTCTCCTTATTCAAATTGCCAGTCATTAATTTCGAGAGGTGCTTTATCCTGGTCAGGGATAGGGCTTGAAAACACTTTGGTCATCCCATCGTTTATGAATAAACTGAACAATTTACATACTTCATTCACCCGCTTGAGGTTAGCAGGGTGATATCGCCAACGTAGTCAAGACCAGCTAACCAGCGTTCGGTTACAAACGTAACACCGCCTACACCGTTTAGAACCCTTTGGACAATCCAACCAATGATGTAATGAAACAAAATGGGCGACATGATGCAGCATTGTCTAGCACCAGATCGAATATTGAGTGGGTGGAACAGATCTTTATTTACCAGGACTCGCACAGTGGGGAACGATAGTAAGTGTTGACTAAAGCAATGATTTTTTCCGACGCCAAATAGTTCGATTATTCGCCGCAGGGACTCATGATTGACGGGATCAAACGCAGCGGCGAAGTCAACAAAGCAGACGACCGTCGGTTGCAGGTAGTCATGGCCGAATTCAAGAACTCGCCGCAGTGTGAATATTTGGTCTGCATATTACTTTGAAGTCCGATCTGTTTTGACAATGGCTCAGAAATACCATCTGCCATCCTGACGCCAAAAACTGGACGACAAATGTCTCCGTAGTTGGTTGGGAATACTGCTTACTTGTCTATCCCGGCTGAGGGCCGTAATACAAACGTTCTGTTTTTTTTTCATGGGTCTCCAGTCTGGAATCCTCGCATACCGTCGTACAGCGACCACCAATTAGTAATTGATAGCTATTACGGCAAGGATTTGATGAAGGGATTTGGCAATTTCTGATCAACCACTCCCTTTTTATCCTTAAATGTCACCTATTTCTGTCAACGGGTCATGACTCCGTGGCCAAGTACCAGAGCTTCCGCCTTAATGACCATTTGAATCCAGGTTCGGACCTCGGGTTGCCCAGTTCGAGGTCGGGATATGGTCACCTATTTATGCCAAGCCAGAAAAGTCCACTCCGTGTTTCTTCTATAATATTGCTCGATTACTAATTGCCTGTCGCAGTGCGACCGCTTGCAAGAACTCTATTTCGCGGCACCAATGTGAAGAGAGGTACCCATATTCTGTCCTGCGATCAATGTAAACTGCTGAACGCTATTCATGTCCGTGTTTTGTTTTTTTGGCCCTTGACAAGCGTATAGGCCTTTGGTTGTAGTGCCACCTTCACTTCTTCACTTCATCTTCCTCGAAAAAGGAAGAAATTAGGGAAGAGTTCCTGATGAAAATGCCACAACCGATCTCATTACGCGAATGCTTTAGGCCTTCTGTCTCTGAACAGCTAACCCCGCAGTCCTGTCAACAAACTCTGTATGGACACAGACACAAGAACATAGCGCGAACGTTTTCTGATATTTTTTACCGTACTGTCAAAAAAATCAAGCAGGAATGAACCATGCGCGGAATCAACCAGTTTTGCCTTGTCCTCTCCCTTCTAGAAGCCTCCAGAATCGATTTAACCTTGTCTAGAAGATCATGCTGAGGATGTTTCTAGACTCATATCAAGACCGTAGGTATATGTATGCGGTGAACATTGTCCTGACCCTCAGAATGAATTCTTCACCCTAAAATTTCTAATCATCAGCAAGTATTACGATCCACTTCGAAATTGCCTCTCTGCTCACACCACCGGCGTCCCCATTTTCGCTGACACATGGCTCTGTCATGTGTCTCGCTGATGTGATGAAAAGCCCGTTAGGTTCATTAACACGCTTGTATCCAGTTCTGTTTGCCGACGACGTCAAGTTGGAAGTATAAAGACCTGGATGAATCGACCTCAGACGTAGTAACTTCCCGACCACTGTATCAGTCAATATCTCGGTGCAGTTAATTAAGCAGCAGTATGGTACTGGTTGGACTAGTATTAGTGAACATTCTCACGAATTTGAGCACAGGCCCCAGCGACGCAATTCAGTGAGCCACTTCACCACAGCCTCGATCGACATAAGTCTCAGTGTAGGCCTTTGACTAAATTTATTGCTGATGTCGCCTGGGACCTGTTTCGTTGTGCACTACTCGTACCCCTAAAGCAAGCTTATTTGAATGGGATTGGATTAAGAGTAAGTAGAACACAGATTAGCGCAATCCTTCCTCCCTCTCTCCTTCCCCATCCGTAACTCGTCAAAGCAGACTAACCTCCTTAAAAAAGCTTTTATTTAGAAAAGTTTTGCTAAAAAGAGTTGCAGTACTAGCAGGCATATCGCACATATGATTTGTTGTACTCCTTTTAGTGCCTGACTTTGGCTTGCATTACGAGCTCATTTCAGTCATCAGTCTAGCACCATTGTTTCGTGCCCTAATTGTCAATGTGGTTTGCTACTTTTCCCAGGCGTGTTTGGCAAAATTCCATTTTTTCAATAAATTTGCAGGAAATTGCGTTTGCGTGAAATCAAGTATATAAGCGGATGAGACGTTGGTTCAAAGAAAATAGTTGTTAGGTGCAAGACGTTTGCCTAAATATGCGTAGTCTAAGGTCTGCTGGATTCTTAAGCCTGCTTGCCAAACCTACCAATTGCTTTCAATAAATTCAAATGTCTACGAAGTGACCTGCAAACCTCAAGTACCTATCATCACGCAGATAGTTTCAGACGTACATACTCCTTACTTTCAAATATTAGCCCCCACGAAAACTTGCTCACCTCGACCCCTGATCAAGTAGCTGCCCACGATTCTCATATAGGTAGTGTTTCGCAGTCGACGACTGTTTGGTTACCCAATCTTGAAGGGTGACGGCCCGGACTAAATGCAGAGCCACATGTCGCCCCCCTAGGTCAAAAGGTCTGGCAGCGTGTGCTATGCCAGTATCAGCAAATCATGACCCTTGCGGCCTGGTATGCGCTGACAGTTCCCTGACACGTAATTCCCTGCCGGTAGATGCGCTTGCACTCCCGATGAGTATATGGGTGGTAGGCATGGCTACCCGGTCATCCTCGTCCTTCTGACTCCTGTTGGGGTGTTGTTGTTGGTCACGTGTATTTTGCAGACCAGGGGGGTATGGTGGCATGCCTAGGTGCGGGTCCGGCCGTTCCAGCCATCTACACCCTCCTTCGCCTCGATCTTCTTGACTGTCTGGACACCGGGTGCAGATGGGGGGGGGAGTGTGCGGTAGATGCTGCGCAAGTCACCATTTTTGCTGCACCTTTCTGTTTAGCACACGATGGAATCGACGGTCGAACTGCCACACACGATCCTCACTGTTGAGTGGGCAAAGAGTTTGCAAAATATGCATTCGTACCGAGCTTTTCTTCCGACCATTGGTCCTTTGTCTGTCACCGTTGCAAACGCCTGCACACCATTTGGTATGCGAATCTGGGTCTACCCAGTCTCTAATAAAATATTACCGTAATGCCAGTACACCTGCGCAACTCTCTATCGGATGCTGTTGTGTCGGTGGGAATTATTTGCGTACCAACGAAATCCACACGATGAAGGCGTCCATTACGCGACAAGCGATTCACTCAAGGCGACTGTGATAGGTGATCGTCATTTAAGCCATGAATAGGGACGAATAGTCGATTTGTGGGGACTTTTGGCTCTTAATAGACGGAGAATTCTTGATCACCTAAACCCGGCGCTTTTTTCGAAGAAAGATGGTTCGTTTTATTAGTGTTAATAAGTGGTGGTTCTTCTTCATTGAACGCGACAGCCCGCACACCATATCCGAGGATGAAAATGGAGATGGCGCTGCATTTAAAAGTTCCCTTGTTAGGTCAAGACCAATATCTTTTTGAAGCGAGTCCACTCTGATGCCTCTGAAGGCCGGTCTTTGCCACCCAGCTTTGAACTGCAAAGCTTCGCTTCGCGCACTTTTTTCCGCTTGAGTAGTAGCATGATCAAATTTTCTATTTTCCAAGGGACTTTTGAAGCGTATTTTGACCAAAAAATTGCATTTACTCCTTCTTTCAGGCTCTGCAGGCGGCGAAGGAGCAAATTAAAATGTCTCTCCTGCGGTGATGCTCATCTTCCTCTTCATTTCACCAACGCGGCCGAGTGTGATATAATTTCACCACTTTTCATTAGACATTTTTTCAAAATCCCTGTGGACCTTATTTCCTTATGGGCAAACAACAAGGAGGCTTTGGGTCACTGTGAATCATCGTCATTTTATGCTAAGGCCGATACGAGGGACCTCCACCTAGGCGGGGAAATAGTACCTCGCGGTGAATGTACTGCACGATTAATACCCTAATAGTCTACACAGTTTCAAAGTTGGCTTGCCAATACTTGGTCAATATGCACCCTCAAGCTGGTAATGACACCGCGCTGCGGCAAGCGGCCTATGGAAAATCGCAGTTCTAAGAGGTATTTGTGGGACGAATTCTATCCGGAACACTGCGAGTTGCGTCTTTTGATCAAGGACTTGATTTCCCTTGAGACCTCACCTGTTATATTCCCTTGAACTCCCACGAATGTTTGCAACAGCGTACGGTCTTGCTGTGGGTCAGCTTTGGAAGTCTAGACAAGGAGGACTGTAGTAGTCACTTCCGAAATATTTGCTGTTTCCGACTACCTCCGTCCAAACTACTGCCAAAGTCTAGTCCAGCGTAGGCCTAGTTTGTCGTTAAGTTAGGCGCTCTACCTATAAAGCCGTGGTCTCAAACTCTGCCAGTTGTGATCAGGAGTTCAGGAAGTCACGCGGAAGTGACTTGGATCGATCTGACTTACCTATAGGTTGGAATACGGGCGTCTGCGTTTGCATTTAGATCAGTCGGTGACCCAGGAGGAAGACCAACGAGTAGTAGGGCTTAGCCGACCGCACCCCGGCGTCACTCAGAGAGCATCTGACCGAGTAACTGGACCACAGTCCGAACTATGGGTCTTTCAGGCCTGACGCTGAGTGTGCCTGAGCGAGGACGTCAAAAAGGGCCGGAGACCGTCGTTTCAGCCTCCATAACATGTCAGTAGGGCTACCGTTTCCAAGGGCTCTAGACAGGCAGTCATGCTAAATCTGTGGACGCCCTTTTCACGTAACGTTAGATTAAATGCGGGAAGGTATACTTGCATGAGTCATGTGTTTCACAGTGTCGCAGCGGCGTTGACAAGGATTTGGCTTCAACGTGTGGTGGAATCCGTCGGTCACACTAACAGGCAACGAATCGTTGTTGTAGGTGTATGGATCACGTCTTTCCGGGGGGTTACAGCAAACGGGAGACGATATTGGACAGGCCTTAAGTAGCTGCGCGGTCTTACTGATGTAGGCTGCAGCTCTTTCGGTCGGTCTGAAGAGGCCACAAACCTGCAGTAGTATATCTTGTATTGATAGTGCTGAAGACCGCCTCTCTAGGGTCTTTGCATGAACACCAATCCAAGCCAGCATCAATCGGTCCGAAGGAACGTTGGATCTCTACTTGGCATTTGCTGTGTAGCTTTCTTCTCACTGGGGAACAGCAGCCCTAATTGTCTGAAGAATCGGATGACTAGAAGATGTGGTTTCCCTTCTAAGACCAGTGTTGACCATCCGGGAACTGTACCCGAGTTCTGAGCCACGTAAGATACGGTTGCTAACTACTAGGAATCTACAGGCCAATAGTCTACCTCCTGGCGCCTGTCGATACAACTTTACAGCGAAATCGATCGATGTACGCGGCATTCTCCAAGGTATCGTCTCTCCGTTTGATTTTCTCCTGGGTAACGACTCTTAGATTTGCATACCCAACGGTCTCAACTGGAAGTTGTTTGCAACTCTAGTCATCTCAAACATATAATCAACTCCGAACCTCCTACGCACGATGCCAGCTATCACTGTCACGGGTCGGAATCAGCGGTTTGACTGGCGCTCGGGAAAACGCAACCTGCCATTCTTCACTCGGCGACATCGGCGAACGCTTCTTCCACGTACAGCACGACTTTTTCCCGGGCCTACCGAGAAGAGTGCCTGATGCTTTTGTACTCCAGAGCGCGTGATCCCTTCTAGTCCAAGTTGGCGAACTAAGCCACAGGAATTCTCCCTCGCACAACCTTGGGTGACCTACTCGACCGCCTTACTAATACCGCATGGGCGATATGACCGGCTGCAGCACTCTAGCCCAAACGACTCAGCCCACACACACACACACACACACACACACACACACGGTGAAAAATTAGCTTTCTCTTTTTTGTGGTCGATTAGCAAACCCATTACTCGTGCGCAATAGCCTATGACAAGCCGTCGGCGATGTATCCAAATGGCAGGACAAAATTCCGCAATGCCGTTGTCACCTTGTCGCTCCACCCTGGCTGCCTCATGACGAAAAACAAGCTGGAAATGGTAGCTCCGTATCCATTGTGGTTCCCAGTATCAGCTGACAGGACAACAGCATTCTCAAAGAACTTGTCTTTCCCCAGCAGGTCATCAGTCTCTTGCTGTCGATGAGGTCCATTCGGCCCGACACCATCCCATATGCGAACCGGGTACCGTGTTTCATCGGGTGACCATGTCGAGAAGACTATTTACGTCTTTCCGCAATAGTGAGATGACCCCGCCCGACCTCCCTCATTCACACACACACACACGCGAGTTGGAAACCTGGATATGCACGTACCTCCTCGATGCTTTCTAGAACAGAAGAATCCATTAAAGTGCGGCCACAGCACTGATTGCCACAGGACATAGTCCAGAGTTAATTTATACATAGCGGCACGCTGGCTTTTAGATGAACACCTTTCTGACCCTCTGCACAAACCACCTATGCGAATAAGCCATAACTCGTACACCGTACTTTTGCTATTGAATCTCGATGCCCCATGGATCAGATTACATTATCCGAAAAGGCTGCACGGACATTCATTCCTTACACTCGTTTTGTGGGCAAATTATATCTTCTGAACAGGTGACACTCATTTATTCAAGGTTATTCGAAAATGCCCCAGCGTCGGCCGCCTACCATGAGTTTTTTGTCTATACTGGACGGAAATTTTATAACCAAGCTGATCGAAAACTCCATTTTCGACTAGTACTACGACTCCTAACGTTCATCGAGGCTTCCGAGGGCAGTTGGGTCGTCACGTTTGATGAAAACAGTTCCTACTTGAAGGGAGCTGGTAGCATCAGTACCATTCTCTCCACTCCCAGCATATTCCACTTTGAAAACTTGACAACAGCACAATATCTGAGCTGACAATTTGCCGCATTTACGCTTACGGCACATTCTGATATCGCACCCGTAGAGCTCACTATCCAAACCATATTAGGGAAGAAGTCTGTGCATGTAAAATTCCAGCTTCTTCGCCTATTTGCGTTACTCTTAAGGCACCGTGGGAATTCAGGTGGATTACGGCGATGAGGGACCATTCAGGATCAAATTCACCCAAATCTCGCGTTTTAGAAATAAGAGGATAAGACCAACTAGACTGACAGCGCCCAAGAGGTGCTATAATAAACCTATTCTATGGAAGTGGTCAGGTGGAGTGGATGGCCGGCATTCCGCCCGTTTTACGCAATCTACAAACGTGCCACCTCCCTGTGCTGAGTGGACTAGTCTGCACGCACCAACTAAAAAAGGGGGCCGTGGGCAGATAGGATAGAAATCATCGCTGTTATTTTGTACTTAGAAGAGTAGAAAACGCGTAGAAATCAAACAAATCAGAGGGTCAGGAAGTATGATCTAGAGGGAGAGAGAGAAGTCCTGGATGAACGGTACACAAGATGTCTCAGGACCACATCTCCTCCGGACATGCCAGTTTTGGCAAGTCCAATTTCTCACGGATCAAGTTTTCGAGGTGAAATAGGAAGTCCGGGACACAACTGTAATCTGAAAAAGGGATAAATAAGTGAGGTTTCAGTATACACTTGGAGGCCTTTGTTAGTACTTAAATAATGAGTGCTAATTTCCTTTCAGTTAACTTGTGAAAGTTAAAAACATGCCAGCAATTACTGTCATAATCGTTCAGCTTAACATGAACGGTGGTTGGTTGAGAGGTGCTGTTTTTGACACCTCAAAAGTCATTGGGCGAGCCGAAGGCAAAACAGCTAGAGAGGTAATTAACGCCAACTCAGTCAACTGCAGCAAAGACCTGCCTGCGGCTTACCGAGACGTCTGTTATCACTTCGGCGAGGAGTGACGAACCGAGGTCGGTACGAAAGACGACTATACTATCTCCGAGGATGTATCTGCGAAGCTTCGGGCGAACACAGCACTTCTCTCTCCCCCAGGGATAGCTAATGTTCCTTCCACACCAACGAAAATTGAATTCAGGCAATCTATAGTTGACAAATGTGGCCTTCAATGACTGTGAACAATTCTAATTGGTCGCATCTCTTTCAGTCGCTTGGGGAGGTGCGTCAAATGGCGCGTCAATTACCTTCAAGGGCCGGCTTTGTTTCACGGGTTTGACCGATTCACGCAAAGCAGTGTGAATACTAACTGCAGTCCTATTCGTTCTGATACTCTTAACAGTGCGAAGACATGCATGATGTCCTTCAACATCCGTCGGTGTAAAGTGGTATTTGACTCAAGGCAAACAGGCACTTCACAGACATGATCTTTCATCAGCATGCCTCAGCCTCTTCGAAACCCTCGGAGGTCTCTGGCTCTGATTAGACATCGGAGCCTAAGGCGATTTGATCTGCGCACTGGGGCGCACCTCATCACCTCAGCCGCCGCCGCCATAATCATAATCAAACCGGCAATCAACAAACGAGCGATGCGCAATTAACTCCCAGCTAACATGCTGAAGCGAGTAGGAGGGCCAACAAAACGGACTTCAGATGCTAGCTTACAGCACATAACCCAAGCGGAGAACAAACTCACCAGGGAAGATGTTAACATCAATTACTGCCAGCCTCTTCACATCACAACCGGCCGAGGGACTGCACACAATGAGATCCACGCCGAAGAGGTCCAGGTGTAGATGTCGGCGCAGGCACTCAACCGTTCTCGCCACCGCACTAAAATACGGTTCCGTAGACTCCGTTGTATCACAGTCCTGGATGAGAGTAAAATAGAAAGACCAGTGAGCGTTGGATTGCTCTGACCATATCATCTGCCGCGCAATTGGTCAGTGAATCTGCTCGCAGTCTCGCCAGCTCGGTCTAAGATGATTCCGAGGACTCACTCTGCAGAGCGAGGCCTGACGCTTCGGTGTCGGCGAGGAAGATTCCCCGGGAGCAGCAACTACATCATGTTGTCATTTTAGCGACACTGAATCTAAACGGTGCACAGAATTGTGGCTGATAAGTCCTAGGCTCTACCAGTCCTCTTGAGGAAACTGATAATTGGCGATAGTTGGGATCTTGTTTGATGATAGGGGAGATCCAGTAAGCAATGATTTCCCCTTGTTTATGAAGTGCCCTTGGAGTGATAATTTGCCACTGCGGAGAGGTGCCTCTTTGCCTGATACCCGCCTCAATTGAAGAGGAATTTTTTGCCAGTCCCTACCTGTGGCTGGGTGCGACGGCCAGTGGTTTGGCGCGAAGACGTTTTATTAGCGCAGTAGACTGATTGTTTATTCCTAGGCAGACAACTAACTCGGTTAACTATTTAACAATCTGAGTTTGGGGGGAGGGATGAGTTGAGTTATTGCAAAGAATACTGCCTAACATCCAGTAAAAATCTAAGCCAGAAAAGAGGAATTACTGCACTGGACCATCTACGTATCCGATCAAGGCTAAGACCTTTTCAGGGAACTTCTCGATTACTTATGGAACGCTATTACTTTCAAGAATGCAGTCTGTGCGTGGGAGTTGATGAGAAGTTACCAACGTAGGCCGTATGTGGATTTTCTCCTTCACGTGTCGTTCGAAAGGACAAGAAATTATGTGGGCATGTGTACCTGATAAGCGTGTGGTGACCACAGAAACCTCCCAAATAGCCGACATAGAGCAGTCAAGCACTCAGACGGCACCTCTTTGCCACGGGAATCGGCTTACGAGACCCGTTTCCCTGCGCCCAAAAGATCTGTTATAGCTGCGGTGGCCCGTCAGCAATGCTTTTCAACCAACTGTACTCTCGCGACGTCATAACGCCTTCTCAACCCCTCATGAATGATCCACCGCGGATAATTTTACTGCCATTCGGAAATTCTCCATATAACCTTTGCATTGGTCCGTCATAAAACACGCCTGTTGGTTTCAACCTGCCTTTTGAAGGAAAAATGGGAATAGCCGAGGTCGAGTACTTACGTTGTTCAAGTTCGAGTGGCAGCCCGCCTTGGAGACGCTATGCGAGCTGAAGGATATCGGCTCATGGTCTAAAGGTGATAAGGTAAGGACAAGGTGCAAGGAGTTGCTTTAGTCGTCAACCAAGGATCCTATTTGGCATTCAAACTTTTTCTTAGGGGAAGAAATTCCAAATCGAGAAGGATATAAATGGACACCTTGCCTTTCCAAGCACTTGGGGTTAAGTCTACTTCAAAATCACTCCCGTAGTTCTTACATAGATCAGTAGTTGAGTTAAAAATTAGAGGCAGGGACGGGCATCGATTGAAACAAATCTGGAAGAGGTTCCTACAGTAGATGTGCTAACTCACGAAATGCTGACCGACGTTCTGAAATGCGTTTTCGACTCGCAAGGATTACTTACGTTGGGTTGTAATAGTGACTACCGTGCAGCATAATCCCAAGATATTTAAGTTACTTCGGAATGCCGGCTTTTGAGCAAAAGTCATTCCGGCCGCCTGCAAAAACTACACTTTGTAAAAAATGACTGCTTACGTGGTATCAGTTTTTCCCCATTGACTTTCGATGTGTTTATAAATCCAAATGTATTTCATAGAAAAATGCATAAAAATATTCCTTCTCTTACTTATATAGAAGGAAATTACGTATTAATTAAATTTGATGCTTGGAAGAAGGATATAAGCCGGTTTAAAATTTTTTTCCAATTCCAGAATAATTTCGGACCCGGCCGGCCGTTAAACTTGCGTTCAGGACTTCCCAACTACAAGCTGTATAATTTCCGTGCACGGAAAATCAAATGTTTCTATACGCCATTAAGAGAAGACCATTTGCGGTTAATAAAATTTAACGATGGCTTTGTACCATATTGCAAACGTTACAAGCAACATTAACAGATGCAGGGACACGATGTTTTATGAACGGAAATTCCACAGTCTTAAAAAATCTCATAACTAGAAACTTTTTTAAAACTGAATTACACCCTTCTGTCAAGTATAAGATTCAAAGGTAAACGAATGCATATTTTTATGCATGTTTTTATGGAATATATTTCGACTTACAGGGACATTGAAAATCAATGGGGAAAATACGCACTACTTAAGTAGTCATCTTTACAGTATAGCTTACGCAGGCGGTCGGAGAGTTCAGTCAAGAGCCGGCATTCCGAAGTAACTGAAATACCTTGGGGTTATGCTGTACGGTAATTAATATTACAACCCTACTTAGGCAATCGTTCCGAGCCAAAAACGCATTTCAGGATTTCGGTTAACATTTCATGTGTTAGCTCATCTACTGTAGCTGGGCTTTAACTCTGATATGTACTACTCTGTAATATGAGGAAATAACACCAGTGTAGGAGGCCGCAGACGGAGGTTCCGCACCTAACGGTGGATACTAAACTGCCCTCCACTGGTTTTTGAAGTGTGCTTTGCGCGCAGACGCTAACCAAAGGTTTCGAAACAACTAGATAGAACCCACTAAAGCAAGTTATAAATCACCAAGGCATATTTGCATGTCGGCGAGAAAATCATTACAGCTAACATGACATTGATGAACTACTCACTACCCGAAAAAAGGGTTGGTGATGTCTCGTGCTAACAAACTTACTTTGTTTTCTCCCCTGATGATTACCGAGACGACAGGGTGCTATAAGCTACATGCATTGTGGGCCACGATCAGCAAACAACGGCCCTCGCAGCCTGGTGTGTGCTGGAAATTCTCCGGTACCTGGTTCCCTGTCACTAGATGCGCTTGTTATCCCTCTGGACATAAAGGTCGTGAGCATGGCTGTCCAGTCATCCTTGTCCTTCTGGCCTGTTGTGCTGCTGTGAGTTAAAAATGCTGGTCACGTGTTTACTGTGGTCCAGGGGTGTGGCGGCACGCCTAGGTGCAGGTCCGGCCGTGCCAGCCACCTGCGCCCTATCCCGCCTCCGGTCTTCTTGACCATATCTTTAAACTGGGTCCAGGTGAGGAAGGAGTGTAGTAGATGTTGTGTACGCCGACTCTCATTAAAAACTAACTCACGTGCAAGTCACTATGCCTGTCCTCACCTTACTGTGGAGCACACGGCGGACATCGTTTGCTACGACGGTCGAAATGTCAAAACCTACTTTCAGTGAGAGGGTCATCGGTCGACCAATCCAAGAGCGGTCTTCCACAGGTGCATCACGCCAGAAAATCGAATAAGCGGCGTTTGGCAAGTACTATGACTGGGAGGGTACGGGAAACGATATGTTCCGACTCCAAACTATAGTTCACCAGTACGTACTTGGTAATCTAACAAATAACGGTTCTGTTAAATAAAACCAAATTGTTGGAATAAGAGGAGCCTTTAAGCTTTTAAAGCATTGAACGCCAATACTGCCGGTGACGTCTGGCGTGGCAAGCTATACTTGCCGGTGGATGAATGATGATCAGGTGATTTAACGCATGAAAGACACAGTTGTGGTATTATAGATAGTCGGACCACAGTTTCCATGGGCTTAGGCCGCCAAACCGGCCGTTCCCGGTGCCCACCATACCACTGACGCTGACTGGAATTTTTTTTTTCACTCTCTGCCTCAAGTCCCCAAACCCGAGCTAGTGCATACTCATCTACTTGCCCGTATATTTTGATTCACTATTCCAACAGTCATATAAATGTGCAGGCCTGAGGAGAATTTATCGAAAGCAGACGTGCGCTCGTCAAATTATTTTTTGAATATTTTCGCAACTTGGATCAAACCGTCTTGCGGGATGAAAAACGTCGGAGGGTGCGGTGTGCGAAATCCAGACAGACGGTTGCGCTGCCCAGTCCTCTACTGCCGTTTACGCACGTCCATAGCCGCCAAGGGGGACGATAATTGCGTGTGAATATTCCCCACTAATAAATTTATCGTACCACTAGCAGGTGTACCCGCTCAGAAGGAGAAACCACTCGATCCATAAAGTAACCTTTAATTCATAGTGTGAGGAACTCGGAGCATCAGTGGGATTCGAACCCGCGACAGCAAAGGGAAGGCTTTAGTACAGCCAACGCTCTAGTCACTTCAGCTACGAGGCCCCAGCGTTTAATCACATTTGGGTCAAGTTACCCACCCGGCCTACTGCAACGTCTGGAATCCACCAAATCTGATACAGTAAGGTGACTGTCTAAGCAGGATTTTCTAAGTAATCCACGTCTTCCGGTGGGGCCTTGTAGTTCAGGTAACTAGAGAGTTGGCTGTACTAAAGCCTTCTCCTTGCTGGCGTGTGTCCGAATTCCATCGAGACACCGTGTTTCACACGGCTGGGCCAAAGTGAATCATCCAAACCCTGCCAAAGCATTTATGAACTTTTAATTCGCCAGAATTGACTTAGAAGGAAAAACTGACACGACTAATTGCGGTGTACGGAGTCTATTTTAGTGAAAATAAATGAAGTTGGGTATTTGCACCCCTTACCACCATCTGAGAGATTTCGAATGGAAGGACGGCACACCAGGTGGAAGTGCTGTCCAATAACGTAGGCTTTGAGCAGGAAACCGTCGTGGTTCTCAAAGTTTTGCAGAACCGACGGTATCGGAACACGCGAAAGATCCTTCTCGTTGAAAATGAGCATCATCTGATGGGATGAAATTTTTTTTAAAAATGATAAAATGTGACCACTAGTAAACGATGCATGGTCAGAGTAAGAAGTGTCGCCTACAGTTTGACAAACATTTTATAATAAGGCACCAATTATGTCAAAATTCTTAGAAAAATTTCTAGAAATTGTGCCGAACTGTCTACGACTAGATGGAAAGTAGACTGCAAATGAGAGGGTTTGAGACCCAATTACGATATAACAACACATTTAGAACCTACATCGTGAGCGCTGCCCTGTTTTCCGTGTGCAGTCAACGGCTTGACCACTGAAATTCAAGGAAAGTTGGGTTTTAAGAATTCCGAGGATAGAGGAAAATACGATAGTCAGGGGAGAAATGAGAATAGTACCCCGCACGGTGGCATATGCCATCGATTTAAGGAGGCTCGAGCAGTCTACTTAGGTTGGAAGTGTAAACTGAGTCACGTATTACACTACGAGTCGGAAAAGACGAGCAACTTAGCAAAGCCTTTGTTGATAGCAGCAGAAAGTCGTTCGGTGCATATTACAACCCCACCTAAGTAATCCTTGCTATTCGAAAACACATAATTTCGGTCAGCATACCATGAGATAGGTCGAATTAATCTTCCGTGGCGAGGGAGTTTGTGGTCTCTGATCCTCCTGCCCGGTCTCATCCTGTAAGAGATGATGTTGACTCTATAGCCGCAACACTACGGACAATTTTTTCAGTCGACGGCGAAAAACTGTTTTTCCATGCACTCTGTTTGGTGTAGTCCCAATTTTAAGAAAAAAGACTGAAAACAGCCGATGCAGTGATAACCATTCCCTTTCTGGGCTGACGTCATTTCACGGGCAGCAGTTTTTTCTCCCAAACCATCCAAACTATCCAAAAACGACATCACCTACACTTACTTCCTCGGGTGCTTTTTTCGCTGCGAGTCCGATCCGTGCTTTATCTTTCTTTGACAGTGCCTGTAAACTGGCAGTAAATACAATTGTTATTATTATTACTGTACATGACTGTTTGCAGACTTGACTGGACAGATCCTGCCAATCTAAGCATCGGCGACTATCATTGAGCGGCGGTGGGGAATTTTTTCAAACAATTTATAAAGCATCCAGTACCAGGAATTCTTATTGCTTTAGTCGATGATTGAGGGTGAGAGAGCAGGTGGAGACTGCACAGGTGGTATTCCGTCGATCAAAGAGTGCAGATTATCTAGTGTCAGCATAACACGCCTGCCAGAACAGTAACATAGGCGAAGAAAAAGCATAACTGAGTCTGTAATGAGTCCGGTCATTCCCAGACGCCTTCATCCACGGTTGATCACGATTTCTGCTGATCTCTGCCACACTGTGACGATGTTAACTAACAACAACTTTATGGACCTAGACCTATCCCATTTTGACTGTCAGAACCCGAATGCTCCAATTTCCGTCCATGTTTCGGAAACCAGCTGGACAGGAAATATTGGTCGAATAGTATTACCGACAGATATAAGGAAGACTAGAATGGCCATTTCTGACTTATTGACCGTCGTCAGCTGTCATACCCAACCCCGAATTGTAGAATACTTGAGGCTCGAGCCCAGGGCCTGTTGGTAAGAAGTTCAACCCCTCTGACCACTGAGTCACGGGCTCGTTGTCCTGTCATAGCGTGATCGGCGAGCGCCATTCCACCATTGTATACTCCTGATCACACCCGACAAATATAATTAATATATTAATATATTTAATACACCTATAGTCGACCTATGGCACTCGATTTTTATCGCAGAAGAAACGTTGTCGGCTTTTCCAGACCTTCTGCTATAGATCGCTGCATGTAAAGGGAAGCACTGAACGAAAAATTCTTTAGGCCGGCTAGATCAGGGAGGATGAAAGTCGTATCAGTGCAAAAGCATATAACTAATAAAATGAATGGAGAGGCAGAATTATGATCGGGAAGTCATTTCTGAATGTCATGTATAACGCACAAGGCGTAAATTCGGAGAAAATTAGGCACTTACACACGGGAAACTTCATGGCGGACAGTTTAAAAGCCCTGTGATTCTCACACAAATCCTCGCCGAAGAGGCAGAATGAAGGGACAAAAGCAGTGCCGCCTGCAAGGAAGAAAAATGGCTCTACGAACAAGAACTCAAAAGCCTATGGAAAGGGACCGCGGCTATTTGTACACCTGGTCCGAAGGGGAAGTTGGAGTGTAGGCGGTGCGCGCGTGCCATCAGATAAGGATATTTGCTGAATACGCCATCAGGGAGGACAGTTACTGCCTACAGTGTGACCTATGCAGAGGGAAGGGGAAATAGACCTTTCATTGCGGAGTCGCAATTAGCCACAAGCAATAGCTCTCATATCTATGTGCAATTGGTAATACATCTTTCTGTCTCTGTTTACCCAGGGTTGGCCTACCACTAGAAGGGTGACGTCCACTGACGTGCCTCTTGTCGGGGGGGGGGGAGGTTGAGCGAAAGACATGCGGCGGGGGTGGCTGTCCGCTGAGCGGCTGGGGTAACGTGGTTAAAATCGACGAGTCGGTGATCAGTCAGGGGAGGTGCAATGTCAGAGGGCTGAAAGCAAGGCGCAATTACGGCCCCTATTGTCGTCAATTTTTGGCCTTTTGGAATAAATGCAGCAGTGCATTGCTTTGTCAAGAGCATACAAACGACTTTTTCGTGAAAAATGGCATCTGAAAGGCCACACTAATTATGCAGGAAATCTGACTGGCTCGTTTTCCCATAACGATTTTCGCAGATCGAACTTGTGGACGCGACCTTCTGAACCGGATATAACCCCTAGCCCCTGTATGTAAACATGTACACAGTAAATTTTGAATTCTCCGAAAAACTTACCCATTTTTTCTCTAAGTAGACAGCTGGAAAGAAGCTCGTATTGCTGGAAACGATTAAGGATGGGAATGATGTGTTTAAATTGGTCAACAAATACGGGTTTACAAGACATCTAAAGAGGAAACAAGTTAGATGTACCGTTTAGTGTCAATCGGACATACATCGCCGTCTAAAGGTAAACAGGCTTGCGAGTCCGAAAGAAGATCAGTAGACTTGTGGACAACAAGATCAACGCTGCTTGGCACATTATAGGTTTTCAGGTAAGGTAACTATACTGACGGTTTATCCGTCAACAAAAAATCACCTTAATGTATTTCAGGTCAGTTGTTCTCAAGGGAAGTCAGAATTTTAAAAAGTGCAAACCTCCTTTCACCAACTAGTTTTTCTAATCCAAGGGCTTGGAACTTCTGTTCTTTCATGCAAATGCCGATAACTTTCATCCTTGATCACTAAGTTGAAGTGCCAGCCGACCCCAACATCAGCGGGTAAGCAATTAGCTTTCCCGCGGGGATTTTAGTTTGGTAAAATGCATCTGAAGTTTTCGTGGATCTTGAGCTTCTCTGTTGAGACCTTTTTTACAATTTTAATGTCTTATTGTCACTCACTATGACTTGCCCGAAAGGTTTAATAATTTTTGAATCCGTGAGTCTAAACGTCTTTTGAGTCAACCGATAAAGTTTTCACTCTCTTTTCCGTTTTGAGAGAAGATAGGGTTTGTCGGACTCCTTTTCAATACGCATGGCCGGCAACCCCTTCTTGAAAAGCGCAGACATTTCTCTACTACCCATTCGTGCGTACCATCTATCGAAACCGCCCATCCATCACTTGATCTTTCCTAGTAATTGCAGACAGGGATGTACTGCCACAAGTTAATTTGTACATATACATGCGTCCCTTCTTCTACACAGGTTATCATTGTAGGAAGCGTTTGTTCATATACGTCATGTCGCCTTTGCATACATCTCCTTTCGTTGCGCTTTATTCACATATTAGCCATTTTGCCACTGAACTCAGTGTTAATTTTGTTTTGGTTGTGCCTTTCCGACAGTGAACATAAGTACGCAGTCTTCATGTCTCCGTAGACATGCTGGCCCACATCTCTTATGATCATACATGTGCGGCAAAGTTATGGGACAAACTATAAAACGCGAAATGATGCAGTTTTTCGAAAAATATCATGGATTCCGCAGACGACGGTCCTCCTTGACCAATTTACCCCCTGTGTAGAACGCTTGACAGGAGCTATTGATGGAGAAAACGTGGTGCATGTGACCTTCACAGACTTCAAAAAGGCCTTCGACCGTGTACCACGCCAACGTCTCCTATACAAGCTCAGCCGCATAGGGTTGAGAGGCAGGCTTTTGAAGTGGATTGAAAACAAGCCACATTCTGGGAATTGGCAATGCCAGCTCTGCGCACTGCAGGAAGTACTGTCTACACCGTTACCACAAATAGAGGTTCAGAGGGATCTATGTGTGTGGATAACATCCGCACTAAAGCCACCATTCCACTGCTTGAATGAAGTGAACTCTCTAATATCCAGCTTATATCTCAGACAGCTATATGACGACTTAGTTCACACGCTTCACATACAGCAGAGTCGGGCTTGTTGCCTCGCATCCAGCGACAATTTGAGCTGGCCACCACTAATAGATTGAGAGGACATCCCCTGAATGTACGTGTGACAGAGGCGAGACTGGACGCAAGGAGGTCCTTCTTCCGCCAGAGAGTGGTAAAGACATGAAACGCCCTGCCTTTGGACGTCGTCATGTCCTCATCTGTGGACACATTTAAGAGAAAGCTTGACTAGTGCAGGGACATGTACCCCCACGTCATCTGAAACTAACAAATTTTTCCCCTTGTACCACCTCGAACGTTATACGCCACAAAGTATGTCACTCCCTCCATATAAGCAGCACTATCCCAAAACTTTTTCGCCAACTGTCTCCGTCAGACGTCCACATGAGAACCAATGCGTCCTGACTGAAGCATGAGCGTTCGTTTCCAAACCACTTTGACTATTTTCGTCCCGCGTAATGAGTATTTCACTATTTCGATACAGAATGCATGCAATAACACATCCATACTACCTCAAAAGTGTGAGAAGCTCGTGCCTCTCATTGACCTGTTTGATAGGGAGACCGAAGACAGGCAAAAACAAAGTTTTCAATCTATTTTAAAAAACGTTCCTATGAGTAGACAGCCAATCGATGTCGCTTTCCAGTTTCTTAATTCATGCGGCCTCAACTTTAGGGACGCTGAAGCTAAAAGGCTTCCATCTAGGAGCAAAAATCTACCAAATCTTGTTAAACTATTTTTGTCGATAGAACTGGACTTTATTTTCCCCATTTGGAGCGCTCAGCTCAATATCTCAGGGAACATAAACTTTTTATTAGTCGAGATAAAACTCCACTGCAAGAAACGGTTTCCCTCGCATTCGTCATTATTTCTCGGTTTATATAACAAAATGATTCTTTCCTGGAACATGGAAAACGTCAACTATCATTCTCGTCTTCAAGTCTGGATCTCGGTCCGATGATAATAACTATCGGGACGTTCACAAAACGCCGTCTCTAGCAAAGATAGATAGATAGATAATTT